TGGGCACACACCTGCTGCCCCTGTTCCTGGCACAGCTCAAGGATGAGGTGAGGCACCTGGGCACACACCTGGGCACACACCTGGGCACACACCTGGGCACAGACTGCACTTTCAGTGTTTTTGCAGCTCCCCCTGGTGGCGACTTTGTGAACTGCAGCTTTTTCCAGTCCCTCCCAGTCCCTTCCAGTTCCCTCCCAGTCCCTTCCAGTCGCTCCCAGTACATCTCAGTCCATCCCAGTCCCCTCCCAATCCCCTCCCAGTCCATCCCAGTGCCCTCCCAGTCCATCCCAGTCCATCCCAGTCCCTTCCAGTGCCCTCCCAGTTCATCCCAATCCTCCCCAATGCACTCCCAGTGTTTTCACAGTTCCCTCTGGTGGCGACTTTGTGAACTGCAGCTTCCTCCCAGTCCCTCCCAGTCATTCCCAGTGTGTCCCAGTCCCTCCCAGTCCCTCCCAGTTCCCTCCCAGTCCATCCCAGTCCCCTCCCAATCCTCTCCCAGTATATCCCAGTGCTCTCCCAGTCCCTCTCAGTTCATCTCAATTCTCCCCAATGATTTCTCAGTGTTTTCGCAGCTCCCCCTGGTGGCGACATTGTGAACTGCAGCTTCCTCCCAGTAACTCCCAGTCCATCCCAGTATATCGCAGTCCCTCCTAGTCATTCCCAGTTCATTCCAGTCCATCCCAGTCCCCTCCCAGTACATCCCAGTGCCCTCCCAGTTCCCCCCAGTCTCCTCCTTGTTCTCCCAATGCACTCCCAGTGTTTTCACAGCTCCCCCTGGTGGCGACTTTGTGAACTGCAGCTTCCTCCCAGTAACTCCCAGTCCATCCCAGTTTCCTCCCAGTCTCTCCCAGTTCATCCCAGTACATCTCAGTCCATCCCAGTCCCCTCCCAATCCCCTCCAGTATATCCCAGTGCCCTCCCAGTCCATCCCAATCCTCCCCAATGCACTCCCAGTGTTTTCGCAGCTTCCTCTGGTGGCGACTTTGTGAACTGCAGCTTGCTCCCAGTCCATCCCAGTAACTCCCAGTCCCCTCTCAATCCCCTCCCAGTATATCCCAGTCCCTCCCAGTGTGTCCCAGTGCCCTCCCAGTTCATCCCAGTCCCTCCCAGTGGCGTCTCAGTCATTCCCAGTTCATCCCAGTGCCCTCCCAGTCTGCCCCAATGCACTCTCAGTGTTTTCGCAGCTCCTCCTGGTGGCGACATTGTGAACTGCAGCTTCCTCCCAGTAACTCCCAGTAACTCCCAGTCCCTCCCAGTCCCCTCCCAGTCCTCCCCAATGCACTCCCAGTGTTTTCGCAGTTCCCTCTGGTGGCCACTTTGTGAACTGCAGCTTCCCCCCAGTCCCTCCCAGTAACTCCCAGTCCCTCCCAGTGCTCTCCCAGTCATTCCCAGTGTGTCCCAGTCCCTCCCAGTTCATCCCAGTCCCTCCCAGTCATTCCCAGTTCATCCCAGTGCCCTCCCAGTCCGCCCCAATGCACTCCCAGTGTTTTCACAGTTCCCTCTGGTGGCGACATTGTGAACTGCAGCTTTCTCCCAGTCCCTCCCAGTAACTCCCAGTGTGTCCCAGTCCCTCCCAGTCCCTCCCAGTCCCTCCCAGTCCCTCCCAGTGCCCTCCCAGTAACTCCCAGTATATCCCAGTNTTCCAGTCCCTCCCAGTCATTCCCAGTGTGTCCCAGTGCCCTCCCAGTAACTCCCAGTCCCTTGCAGTTCCCCCCAGTCCCTCCCAGTGGCGTCTCAGTCATTCCCAGTTCATCCCAGTGCCCTCCCAGTCCGCCCCAATGCACTCCCAGTGTTTTCGCAGCTCCCTCTGGTGGTGACATTGTGAACTGCAGCTTCCTCCCAGTCCCTCCCAGTCCATTCTAGTGCCCTCCCAGTCCCTCCCAGTCCCTCCCAGTCCCCTCCCAATCCCCTCCCAGTATATCCCAGTGCTCTCCTAGTCCCTCTCAGTTCATCCCAATTCTCCCCAATGCACTCCCAGTGTTTTCGCAGCTCCCCCTGGTGGCGACTTTGTGAACTGCAGCTTCCTCCCAGTCCCTCCCAGTCCCTCCCAGTCCCTCCCAACATGTCCCAGTCCCTCCCAGTAACTCCCAGTACATCCCAGTCCCCTCCCAATCCCCTCCCAGTATATCCCAGTCTCTCCCAATCCATCCCAGTGCCCTCCCAGTCCATCCCAATTATCCCCAATGCACTCCCAGTGTTTTCGCAGCTCCCCCTGGTGGCGACTTTGTGAACTGCAGCTTCCTCCCAGTCCCTCCCAGTCACTCCCAGTGTGTCCCAGTCCCTCCCAGTCATTCCCAGTGCCCTCCCAGTCCCTCCCAGTCCCTCCCAGTAACTCCCAGTATATCCCAGTGCCCCGAGGTGCGGCTGAACATCATCTCCAACCTGGACTGCGTGAACGAGGTGATCGGCATCCGGCAGCTGTCGCAGTCGCTGCTGCCGGCCATCGTCGAGCTGGCCGAGGACGCCAAGTGGAGGGTGCGGCTGGCCATCATCGAGTACATGCCGCTGCTGGCCGGCCAGCTGGTGAGACTGGGAGGCACTGGGATATACTGGGAGGGGACTGGGATATACTGGGATATACTGGGAGGGAGTTAGAGACTTGTATGTGGTGCTGGAATGGAGTTATGGGCTCGTATGGGGGCACTGGGATGGACTGGGACATACTGGGATGGACTGGGAGGGCACTAGGAGGGACTGGGATATACTGGGAGGGGACTGGGATAAACTGGGATGGACTGGGATGGACTGGGAGGGAGTTGCAGATTTGTATGGGGGCACTGGAATGGAGATATGGGGTTGTATGGGGGTACTGGGATAGACTGGGACAGACTGGGATGGACTGGGATAGACTGGGATGGACTGGGATGGACTGGGAGGGACTGGGATAAACTGGGAGAGGGCTGGAGCCGTGTATGGGGCACTGGGATATACTGGGATATACTGGGAGGGGGCTCTGGTGTGTCCGGCTGGCCATCATCGAGTACATGCCGCTGCTGGCCGGCCAGCTGGTGAGACTGGGAGGCACTGGGATATACTGGGATGGACTGGGAGGGGACTGGAGCCATGTATGGGGCACTGGAATGGAGTTCTGGGCTTGTATGGGGGCACTGGGATGGACTGGGATGGACTGGGAGGGGACTGGGATGGACTGGGAGGGCACTAGGAGGGACTGGGATATACTGGGATGGACTGGGAGGGCACTGGGATATACTGGGATGGACTGGGAGGGAGTTAGAGATTTGTATGTGGTGCTGGAATGGAGTTATGGGCTGGTATGGGGGCACTGGGATGGACTGGGACGGACTGGGATGGACTGGGAGGGACTGGGATGGACTGGGATGGACTGGGAGGGGACTGGGATGGACTGGGATGGACTGGGAGGGACTGGGATGGACTGGGAGAGACTGGGATATACTGGGAGGGGACTGGGACAGACTGGGATATACTGGGATATACTGGGAGGGAGTTACAGATTTGTATGGGGGCACTGGAATGGGGTTATGGGCTTGTATGGGGGCACTGGGATGGACTGGGATAAACTGGGATGGACTGGGATAGACTGGGAGAGACTGGGATGGACTGGGAGGGACTGGGAGGGACTGGGAGAGACTGGGATATACTGGGATGGACTGGGAGGGACTGGGAGGGGGCTGGAGCCGTGTATGGGGCACTGGGATGTACTGGGATATACTGGGAGGGGGCTCTGGTGTGTGCGGCTGGCCATCATCAAGTACATGCCGCTGCTGGCCGGCCAGCTGGTGAGACTGGGATATACTGGGATATACTGGGATGGACTGGGAGAGGGCTGGAGCTGTGTATGGGGCACTGGGATATACTGGGATATACGGGGAGGGAGTTAGAGACTTGTATGTGGTGCTGGAATGGAGTTATGGGCTGGTATGGGGGCACTGGGATGGACTGGGATATACTGGGATGGACTGGGATGGACTGGGAGGGCACTAGGAGGGACTGGGATATACTGGGAGGAGACTGGGACAGACTGGGATATACTGGGAGGGAGTTACAGATTGGTATGGGGGCACTGGAATGGAGTTATGGACTCGTATGGGGGTACTGGGATAGACTGGGATGGACTGGGATAGACTGGGACAGACTGGGATGGACTGGGATGGACTGGGATGGACTGGGACAGACTGGGATGGACTGGGAGGGACTGGGATGGACTGGGATATACTGGGAGGGACTGGGAGGGAGTTCCAGCCCTGTATGGGGCACTGGGATATACTGGGATATACTGGGATATACTGGGAGGGGGCTCTGGTGTGTCTGGCTGGCCATCATCGAGTACATGCCGCTGCTGGCCGGCCAGCTGGTGAGACTGGGAGGCACTGGGAGGCACTGGGAGGGACTGGGAGAGGGCTGGAGCCGTGTGTGGGGCACTGGGATATACTGGGATATACTGGGAGGGAGTTAGAGACTTGTATGTGGTGCTGGAATGGAGTTATGGGCTTGTATGGGGGCACTGGGATGGACTGGGATGGACTGGGATGGACTGGGAGGGGACTGGGATAAACTGGGACAGACTGGGATGGACTGGGATAGACTGGGATAAACTGGGAGGGACTGGGATGGACTGGGATGGACTGGGAGGGACTGGGATGGACTGGGAGGGACTGGGA